AATGCACATTTAGGAAAATAAAGAATAAAATTGACACTCATAATTTTTAACCACCCTCTTTCCCTTGCTTTCTAGCTTTCTAACTAATAAGGCTTATTGTTTGTGTCATGTATGTGCATATGTATTGAAACAGCAGCTTCTATAGATTTGATTTCGAAAAGTTTAAATGGTGAAACATAATCTCTTATTGGTGACACCATGGCAACAATCTGCATTTATTTGATACAAAATAATACAAAAAGTGGGGGCGAAAAAGTCACAAAAGTCCCAAAAATTTGGTCCAAATTAGAACTTTAATCCATTTGAGTGATATCTTTTCCGAAACCATTGGCATTTATATTATCTTTCATGGGGTCAAATCAAATCATATGCATTTCAATTCATTTTTCCATAAAATTGAATTGTTAAGTTCGAGCATGAAATATAATATTTGTTGGAAAACAGTACATTAATTTCTGGACATATGGCCGGTATGGATGTGAAAATGTAGACTGTCAAATAGAAAATTGCCCTTTAAGCATGCAAAAACAATCTTGATGTTCATCTCAACCCTCTTTGAAGGCTATATTATTCTTCAGCTATTTTAAAAGCAAATTTTATTGCACAACAACTTTCATATTTGACATTCGGGCGGATGGCGGTTGGTTATCGGAGAAAAGTTGGTACCCAATTTGTGCAATCAACTCCTCCTACAGTTTTCAAACAAGATTCCGGAAACTTCACCAGAAGATTGCACATATGTTGAAGTTGAAGGTATTATGGAATTGTTTTCGGATTTTTATTTTTTTTTCTACAGGCTTGGGTACTTAGTCTTTTTTCAGCAATGTTATGAAAGAGGGTACAAGTTCTGTGTAATCAACTTTCCCTAAAGTTTTAAATCCCTTGAGATAAAAAAAAACTTCACAGGAAGATTGCTCATATGTTGAAGATGCACACCTATTATAGAAATGTTTATGATTTTTTTCTCGTTTTTTCATATTTATAAATTTTATGTACACATAAGAAACATTCTGTACAACCTCGCAATTTGAGTATTTGATCCTTTTTGTAATATAAATCAAGCAAGTCTATATCCTTCTCATTTTATTTGTGTGTATATTCATTTATTTTTTTTCTGTTTACTAAATAACATATATGCATTGTCTAATTTATTGTTCTTGTTGCATCTTAGTGTGCCCGAGTTTGTAAATAAAGTTATCGTAATTAGATATTTATTGATGTACCTACCTATATGTAAGGTATAACATTAAGATCATTGTCGAAATATTTACATGAAGTAAAGATTTCTTCGATTTTAAGGACGATGTTGTTTAAGTTAATGACAAAACTGTACTAAAAATGCAAAACAGAACAATACTTTATTGTCTAATTCTCAAATCTATATTAGGAATAGACGGCAGACTGGTTTCTTGTCCTTTATCTGTTTGGCGCTAACATGCCCGTATGTTTCAAGGGAGATAACAGCCTAACTGGCAGTTTAGTCTATATATCCTCTGATTCGTACGTTTCATTCAAATCAAAGATAAACTTTCCGAAAATAAAACCAGAATACAGTAATTTGAATTATAAAGGAACAGTTAAAACTTATAAGCCCAGAAAGCAGTAACTGTTCCGTATATGTATTAACTGTCATTTACTTAACATAGTTATTGGAAACACTTTTTAAAATTTTAGATATCTATTTGAACATGTGACCAAAACGTACTTTCGCATTCTTTTACAGACAAAATCAGCGAAGCACTAACTGGTCCATCTTTTGTGAGTAATTGGAAGTCTCTATCAGTAGACGACCCTACTATAGATATACGTCATAATCTTAGAGTGTATCCATTGAAAGTTGATGTCCAGATTTTGGTTACTAAAGAAGGAGTCGATTATATCTTCACTGGTACTGGAGCAGCTCAGAGGGACAATGACAATGATTTCTATTTTGGTGGTATCATTTATATTTATAACACAGAGATTGTGAGAATAATAGTGCCAAAAGAATCAACATACGCAGGCATTGCTTACACAGGTTAACTATTCAATTTAGAAAACACATATTTTGAAACGAGATTAACTTAGCAGCACAGTACACAATTAGTCATTTTCTGTTCTTCACTGATGAACGATTTTTTTTCACATGTATTTTAATGAGTAAGTCTTTTTTGCATAGTGTTTATTATACATTTTGTGTACTGTCCAACATTAACCGTGCGTGTGGTCCTTTTTGGGCCTTGCTATTAAGTTAGGTTATAAGTAATAAAAATATAGACTAGACGCCAACATACAGTCTTCAACAAAAGACAAAAGATGGTACAGAGTCTATAAAAAAAATGTGAATGAATCATGCTTTCAAGATTGCCATTTACACATGTATACCTTAAGCCCTAAACTAAGAAAAAAGAAAATTCATGTAATGTTTTTCAACATAATATAGTATGTAATAAATCAAAACAATATTGAATATATAAATATGGAGTGATTGAATATAACACATAAAGTCAACATGACAATTACAAAACATTTTTGTTACCCCATGGTTATGACTACTCGTAGTGTAATCCAAAGCAGGTAGGATTTTAACCTTAGAAGTGGCAGATTTTAATCCTATTTTTTCAGTTTATGCAAATATAATTTTTTAGCTATTTTGTTTCTATGCTCATTTAAAATAAACTGAAACGCTTCATTATTATACGTAACATGCCTGGATGATTGACTGCACAGGCGTTCTATTTCATTCATATATCAATAGCTTTCATCAAGAGTGTCATCTTAAACAACTGGGTTTATTAATAAGCAAGAGTTGGACTGTAAGTTTAAAATACATTTTGCTAACATTCTCGAAAAACCTTGGGTTTCCTGGTTTTAATGAGTTCTGTCTTTTTAAATATTCACTAAAACAAACTATAGTCGTTTTCAGCATTATGTCTGCTAATATCATGCATAATTATGTCCACTGTAAAAGATTAATATGATACGATTTTTCTAAACCTACCTTTTATTGTAATGTTGATAGAAAAAATGTGAAACACTGACAAATGATAATATTTAAACTTGATGGAATTTCTGGAATTTTCAACAGCAAGTGGTATAGGCGTGATATACCCATTGTTCAGTAAACATTGTTCTGTCTTCCAATGGTCTGGTCTCTCATACATTTTGACAGCCGACTTCAATGTTTTGTGTGGCAAAGTCAAACCAACAGCTGTAGCGTGCAGCAACCTTAGTAAGCTTCTTATAATAGCAAACACATGAACTTGTTTTACTTCCATGTTCAACATAATGGTTATCCTGTAGTCATCTGAACTGTGAAGTTATGATGAGTGATTTTGATTTATGACATGATCTAGATAGGAAAATGAGTAGGTTTGTGCGCATTTAAAACCGTTTAAACCACCACATTTATACCTGCCTCTAGTCAGGTTTCGTGGACCATATGTTGTTCGATGCTGATTGTTTTGTCGGAAGATTCCAGTCTTGATGCAATAAAATTGAGAATGTAAATGGGGAATATGTCAAAGAGACAACAACCCGACCAAAGAGCAGACAACAGCCGAAGGTGGTCCTCAGCTGGCCCCTACATAAAATTGTGTACTAGTTAAGTGAAAATGGACGTCACACTAAACTCCAAAACATATAAATGAACTAAAGTTAATAAACATACAAGACTAACAAAGGCCAGAGGCTCCTGACTTGGGACAGGCGCAAATATGCGGCGGGGTTAAACATGTTTTGTGAGATCTCAACCCTCCCCCTATACCTCTAGCCAATGTAGAAATAAAGAAACACATAGCACTACGCACAGTAAAACTCAGTTCAAAAGAAGTCCGAGTCCAATGTCAGAAAAGGTAACAAAAGAAACTAAGCAAAATGACAATGATACATAAATTAACAAAGGACTACTAGCAGTTACTGACATGCCAGCTCAAGACCTCAATTAAACTGATTGAAAGATTATGTCTTCATCATATGAATATCAGGCACAATCCCTCCTATTAGGGGTTTAGTATTATACCATCATAAAATATATGAGAAGAACATAACCCGTATCATGCCAACAACTGGTTTTAGAATAAATGTGTTTATTTCCGATGCAAAGACCCTATGAGTGAATCAATATTAATACCAAAATATGCAATCCTTAATGACCTGACAACAGTATCGTAACTATATCCTTTCCGAATAAGTCTGTTTAAAGGTTTGGTTAGCTTTTGAGGTGAATGCCGACATTTTTGTGCTTTGTAAGGAATATTACCATAAAATATTGGATGTGAAATACCTGAACGTATAAGATGTCTGCATGTTGATTTATATTTACGAATGATGTCCTTGTATCGATGATAAAATTTAGAAAATGTTTTGACTAGTTTGTGATATCGAAAAAACTGGTGTAATAATTTTCAGTAATACAGAGATTTCTTTCGTTGAAATCAAATACGTTGTTACATACACGAGCGAGTCGAACAAGTTGGGATATATAAACACCATAAGATGGTGACAAGGGAACGTCACCATCTAAAAATGGATAATTAACAATAGGAAATGAAAAATCATCTCCTTTATCATAAATTATGGTATTAAGCTTCCCGTTAAAGATATAGATATCAAGATCCAGAAAAGGGCAGTGTTCATTGTTAGTATTAGCTTTATTTAAAGTCAGTTCGGCAGGATAAATCTCTTTAGTGTACATACTGAAGTCGTCATTATTGAGAGCCAATATATCATCTAAATATCTAAAAGTGTTATTAAATTTTTGAATCAGATGTTGTTTTGATGGGTCTTTGCTGATTTTAGTTATAAATTGTAACTCATAACAATACAGAAACAGGTCCGCAATAAGTGGTGCACAGTTAGTCCCCGTGGGAATTCCGATAACCTGACGATATACGGAATCTCCATAGCGAACAAAAATGTGATCTAGTAAAAATTCAAGGGCAGTTATAGTATCAAAGCAGGTCCAATTGACATAGGTGATTCCCATTATCCTTTATATGTTTTCTGATTTATTTGTTTTGAATGTTAATGTATTTGTTTTGAATGTTAATGTATTTGTTTTGAATGTTAATGTATTTGTTTTGAATGTTACTGTATTTGTTTTTTCAAAGGTCTGGTTTAGGTATCTATCTGTTTAAATACTACAAAATATCAATTGATATCTCTACCAGTAGTTAAAAAGATAGGCTGGTTTGCGAAATTTCACACGAAATTAAAGTTGCAGAGGCGTTTTAAAATCGCAAATAAAAAAGAAAACCCACAAATGTAATGCAAATAAAAGGAACAATAAAACATTGGCAGATCTATTCTAGGTTCTTCCTTATATTATAACGGGGATGCCAACATGTGGTTCACCTCGGGAAAAGTTCGAGTTCGGTTGTGGACAGCAAAGGATTTACCACAGCCTGACTTTTCAGCAAGGACGAAAATGAACGGTATACTGTTTCTTTTTGTTTAAGATCAATAACGGCAACACATTGCATCATTAAAATCTTCGTATGTGTCTTCAAATAATTCAAATACTGAACAAAACATCATATAGATTGGTGTGCCTTAATCAATATTCGGACTTTATCGCAATACAGATTAATTATTGATGGTTCTAAATTATTAAAAACCAAATTTGAACCAATAAATGCAACATCCAGGGTTAGAATAATAGCCATTCAGAATTCACGGGCTCTGTAACCAATATCACTGTAAAAAGAAATTTAGATGTGCTATCCCGTCTGTAATCAGGTTTTTACAGGTACAGCCAAATATTTGAACCAAAGTTTTAAATCAATGAAAAAAAATAGTGAAGTTTCATAGTAATTTGTGAACGAAATACCTGACTGCATAATTAAACAGTTATACATGATTACGCTCATTGAAATCTAAAAAAAAAACAGTGGTAAACTCGTGTGTTCAAAAGGGCAAGAACTTCTTGTCGTGTTGCTCATGCAATTATATCTGTAATGATAAGTCTCATTCGCAAACATAAATCTCAATGAACAGAAGGGAGTTTGTGGTTATGACAAGTGGAACATATCTGTGGTTATCTGTTACACAGATATTCCATAACGTCTACCAAATCATGATGGAGTCCATAAATATTATGTTAGGATGATTTGAAATGGAAATACTATTTTATAACTTTAGTTCGTCCCAAGAAAGTTACTTTCAACAGGAATGCATAAACCCACTTAACCATTCGTAACCCTTGGTGCAATAGCCTCCTTGTTACAAAAATATGTAGCAGTAACTTTGAATCAAGGAAGGGATGATAGGAAGTACAAAACTTGTAATATCGTTTTAACTTTGACATATATACTTCATTTGCAGGCCCTACTGGAATGTTGCTAAACAATACAAATGTTCACAACGGGCAGATTCAATTCATCTGTTTTAACGTAAAAATGTGTTTTTTATTGAGCATCGTTGTCAATTTCTAGATGTATTTGATTATCATTGAATCAGACACATTCAGCATAGATCACTTTTGGAGTGACAATAAACTCATCAAAGATACTAGGTTTATTATTTTGTACACCAGACGCGCGTTTCATCTACAAAACAATCATCAGTAACACACGAATCATAAAACCATTCCGAAATGTTTTGTCAAGTACAATTAAGGTAATCTAGTCCTTGGGCGGAAAATCTGTAGTTTTTCAAACAATTTAAAATTTTGTAAAGTGTTAATTTATACATATGTCAACACAGAAGTGGTGACTACTGGGCTCGTGATACCCTTCACCAGGAGTGGCATCGACACAGTGGTTTAAAATAAACTTCTAAAAGGTACCACGCTAATAAGTTTGTACATCAGACTCGTGTTTCGAAAGGACATCATTTATATAGCGGAAAGTAAAGTTAAAGGAAAATACCAGCTTCTTTTATTTTGTTTGAGAAGATTCTATATAAGCTTGATCATTGGAAAACAAAACAAGTCGGCCAGCAGAAGGTCGAGGTTGTTTCCGATTAGAGCGTCGGTTGTCTGTGAAAAAGAACGCCCTTTAAACGTAATAAATATGTTGTCAATATAATAAATCCAGCATCTTAAGCTTAACGATGCAAATTCATTTTAGTGAAATTTTTGTTCGAACCCGAATGTTTTGTTTTGTTACAAAGTATGGCTTGTCACTTCGTGGAACAAACTAGTTATGTCTGCGCTGATCTTCCCGTTTGATGTAAGACGTTAGGATAACTCTTTCAATCAGCCATCATGTTTAGATCAAGGAATGCTAGACTTATAAGTGTTCAAGAGAGGCGAAAGATACAAGAAGGGACATTCAAACTCATAAGTCGAAAATAAACTGACAACGCCATGGCTAAAGAAGAAAAAAACCAGCAGACAAACAACAGAATACAAAACACAACATATAAAACTTAAAAGTGGGCAACCGAACCCCACCAAAACCTGGGGGTAAATGTTGAGAACTCAGCTGTTTTTTATATTGTTGAATATTGTAGTTTCTCTATTTTATTCATCCCCTTTCTGGAGTATTACGTCGGAAGTTTCTCGATCTCTCTGAAATCTGATTTTGATTGCTAATACACAAAATGTTAATAATTTAGAAATAGATTTTGTGGAGCAATTTACAGACCCAGCAATATAACGCTATTTAAAAGTATATTCAGTATAGAAAAGGATGATCAAGTTATTATCTTCGAAGGCAATTCCGAAGGAGCATACAACCAATCTATGATACTAAAGGATTTCCTCTCTAGTATGTGTTATGGCAGTATATGTTGGGTTTTCAAGTGATATTGACAATACCTAATTCCATTATCAAGCAGTTATTATAATTTTTTTTACAAAAAAAAACAAAAAAAAACGATATTTTCCTCGACTGAATTCATAAGTATTTTAAAGTTGTTTTATTTTTCCGTTTCTTTTTTCAAAATTACTGAGGTTGTTCTATATCTAGTCATTGATTGCCTTAGCCGTTTTTGGTACACATTTTTTGGAATTTTTGTTTTTCTAATGCTCTTCAACCGTATTTGATTTGACCTTCCAACTATTGTATTTCGTGCGCAACTGATAAGTCTTACTATTGTAGACGAAACGCACGTCTGGCGTACCGAATTACAAGCCTGATATCATCGATGAGTGTTTTTACCTTAGCCGTATTTGGCACAACTTTTCAGAATTTTTGATTGATTATGCTTTTCAACTTTATATTCGATTTAGCATTCAAATATTTTTAATACGAGCGCCTTTCATGAGTCTTATATAGACGAAACGCGCGTCTGGTGTACAATATTGTAAGGCTGCTTTGGTGAGATTTTACAAACACTTGGTCGATGACACTGCTGTTCGAAGTTTCTTCCCCGAAGATATCACCTGTTCAGTAGTCATCACTTTTATTTGTGCTTACATGAAATATTATTGATATTGTAATTTTCTGTAAATTTACTTTTATAAGATATTGAAATATACCATAAACTAATGTATTTTGACCTCAGCTATAGATTTCCTTACCCGACATTGCACAAAATTTTCGGTTTATCATGCTCTTCAACTTCGTGTTTGATTTGACATTCCAACTGCGCCACTGATAAGTCTTATGTAGTACACAATTATAAGCCTGGTATCTTTGATGAGTTTTTACAACTACTAGATCGATGCCACTGCTGGTTAACGTTTCCTCCCGAAAGGTTTTATCAGCCCAGAAGTCAGCACGTTTTAGATGACATGAATAATTTCATGGCTAACATTTTACTTATCATGAGCAAACAATGATCTGCAATTATAGAGCAGGAACTGTTTACTCTTCCTGTTTTCAATAGTTTGTTGTTCTGTGTAGTCATCTTTATACTGTTGTTTAATTTCTAATCAAGAGAGCAACCGTTTATTGTAGCGAACCAATTACCGACTTTCCGGGAATTAACACATGGTTTAGGACAATATCCAAATATGGTGACAGTGCGCATTGAGCTTGATGATAGTTTTATGTCTGATGGTCAAGGTAAGATAGACAAGAAATACGGCCATATAGTATATAACATTTTCACTTACCTTTTCTTCTGAGAAGAAAACAAAAACTTCACAAATACACAAGTGCATGTATATTTTACAAATAAGAAGCTATTTAAAAAATTTATAATTATGGCGTTATTCAATTTTGAAGTCATTTCTGAAGTATTCATATTTGTACAAGAACGTTACAATGCGATTATTAAAATTCGTTTGAATGACTTAGTTATCGAATACACAATGTATTTGTTTTCAGTGATTGAATGCTACTTTCTAGTATTGGAGATCATAAATATTTTGACAAATTAAGTTAACAGTTCAATGGTTTTGTTAATATTTCAAAGAAAACAATCAAAAACAAGTGAGTGGACTTTTCTATTAGTATGTCCAAGAGTTTTAGACTCATTATTCTTGACATGAAATATATATTTTCGTGTTATCTATAAGTTATCTATATTTGACCAATAATCAGAATTAATGCGCAAGCTTAAGTTGAATAATTCAAAGTTCAAGATGACATTTTTATATCTATCAGATTGAACTTGAAACCTATAACCCACAATTAAAGCAAGCCATAAAGAGACCTCCAATAAACAATTTCGAGTTCGTTGCATTTCTGTCAAAAACTTTTGTTTTAGTGAACACCATTCGTGCGTTTAGGAGCATCGTCACTTCCTTCCTATGTTGAGCGACTGGTGAAAAAATATAATGCTATATTGGACGAATAATTTGACAAATTAAATTCGTATAATTGATAATCAGCACTGGTGTCATTATAGAATTGTGATTAAGTACTTACGGAACAAATGTTATTTCTAGTTTATCCTGCATAATGATGATCACAAAGACGCTTGCTGAACTTTAAAAGTTCAGGGATACAGGCGATCCCCTCTATCTGGTTAATGACGTCATAAAGGTGCACAAAATTGACGAACTTTTCCGGTGTAGGACATAGCTCGAACGTGGTCTATTGGAGTTCAACTTGATGAATTTGAAGAACTTCTTGAAACGTTTTACAGTGGCTTCTTTCATCAGTTGTTGGTTGTTTTCAAAACAAAAATTCCGTTCAAAATGCATCACATGTATTAGGTTTAGGTGTTTTCCCTACTGGATGATCTGCGTCCCCCCCCCCCCCCCCCCAATTATTGATCGATATTTTTTAAAACTCATTTCCTGAACGACGTTTTGTTGACTTTTGTTTGCGTACTTATTGTTTTGTGTGCTCTCGATTTTGTTTCATTGACTACATTATTTTAGATTAGTTTAAGGATGTTTACTTCTCTTGTATTTGACTTTTTGTCACATATTCGGAATCACGGGTTTAATCATTGTAGTGCCATTAACAATTTTGCCTGTTAACCCATTTTTTTCTTTTTTAAATTTTATTACATATAGGTTAAAAGGTGACATTTGAAAATCTTATAAATCCTTGTTTTTTTTCTAATTGTTTTTGAAAGAAAATAGGTGCCAATATTAAATGTATGAAAAATCTAAAGACAATCATTACTGCTAAATTTTCAAAGGTTTCTATTTCGAAAACAAGGGCACAGACCCTTCATTTTTTTCTTCAATTTTAGTTCCGTTATTTATTAACTTTTGATTTTTTACAGTCTTATAAAAAGCTTATCATTTTGAAGCAGAGTAGCGAACATCCTTAATGTCATCCGATAACTTAAAAAAAAAATGTACATATATTATAACAATACATGAAATAAGACTTCATGTCATGATATTGAATCCTGTGATAGCAAGTATCCGACATGTTGGATGTTAATAAGCTTTTACAAATGTTGATTTGCATGTTACCTTTATACCATACAAAAACGAAATATAATGCTTCGAAAGTTTTACGAACACCATTACGAGTTGGATGACCGTTATGTAATATCAGTGCCACATATGACCATGGACATGTTTCAATTGTCGTAACCGCAATCCTGTACGCTTTTAATCAAGTGTGACATTATCGAATGAGGCTTATTTATGCTTGCATGCGTAACATGTCGGGTGCAACTTGTTGAGCAGTACTAAGTACCATTTTGGAGAACATATCGTGTTGCTCAATATTTAGTTTCTATGTAGTGGTTTGTGGACTTGTTATCTTTTCGTCGTTTTTCGTTTATTACAATGGCGTTGTCAGTTTTTTGAATGTCCATTTGAATTTACTTACATCACAGTATTTATGGTAACGACTGGTCTTTTTTGCATACCGTAATTTGTAAATAATGCATAAATTGTTGATTTTATGAACTAATTACGATTGTATTGGACACTTCTTCTAGGTCACTGATGTGCCAATGAAAATGTTGTTTCAATAAATATATCTTAATACAGAAGATGCAATGAGAAAAGTAACATTAGACGCTTCAACAATTGTTTGATATGATTTTTGATATAATTAATTGTACCAATTTTACTGCACCCACCAGATGCGCATTTGGACAATAATTGCCTCTTTAGTGATGCGCGACCAAAAGAACTAAAAAATAAAACTGATACAAAATCTGAAATGCTGATCAAACCAGTAAAGCCATTTCATAAGCAAATCCGAATCAAAGCTTTGCAGGGAGAGATACTTTGTTTAATTTAAAATGATGTCCAACCTTTATTCCCTATATTTTATTGTGTATAGTAATGTGCATTTTCATCGTAGGTACAACTTTCACTGGTAAACCGGATGACAACAGCTGTTATTCTGGACTATTATATGGATATAACGAGACCATGTTTCGTTTGTGGGTACCTTATCATATTTCAACAAACAACGCATGTGTTGGTGAGACTTTAATTGTTGCAAATACGTTATTCTGTTATAATTTGAACACTTGGTTTTATATCCAGCAGCCAATTGTACTCTTTTTTCTTTCTTTTTACAGAATCTCCAAGTAATCCCATAACATATTATTTATAAAAAAATGTCAAAAGTAACATTAGATTGTACTTTAACATGTTTAAGGTACACTGTTGTTTTTATGCCTGTACATACGATAAATTGATAAGTGTTGTAATTATGTTAAATGTCACTATCTTATATTGTTGCCGATTAAAAACAGTGACTTTGCAATCGGTACGCCAAATTTATTTACCATAACTTATAATCATATACGTCTGGTAAAAAAAACGAATGAGAATTCACTTACATTTAAAAAAAAACTTTGTTTTGTTGAAGTAGATATCGTTGAGGTATTATTTTACTTTCATACAGAACACTCCAACTAATAGAGAAGAATATATTAAAAAACAAACAACTATATATTTTATGGATCATAAATTATATTATGCTAATGCATATAAAACATAGATTACACGAAAAGACACTAATATACTATGTGTACTCCGAAACAGCGGTGACGTTGCTTCGCTAAACTATCACTTTGAGCCAACGTAGTTAGAAAGGATGACGTTAGCACTGTTTCGGAGTTTTTCAATATGGATGACTACGTTTTGTCGTCTTAAACACAGCATCTTAACGACAATTATTTCAGTCTCCTACTGGTTTTACTTTTCAAAGAAATTGAAAGATAAGTCAACGCACAGAATTATTTATATGATTATCTGTGAAAATGAAGCTAGCTTAACACTGATAAAAAGAGTTGTCAAAATGTAGCTTTACTTGCTGAATATTCACATATTAGGCGCAATAGTATTCGTTATTTTTCAAATTTAGTGCACAGTGTTGAAAAATACCAAACCTTTCATTGCATCTATACTTCAGAAGTGTTACACTTTCATATTGAATACAATTAGTTTTGTTTTGAAACAGGAACAGTGTGTTGTGCTCATGATGGTTGGTCGACCAGTAAGATTGAATACAGTGGAATAGTACATGTATTGGCATGGATATTTGACGAGGAGAATTATAACTGCGATATCTATTATCAAAATATCAGTATTTATTATGCAACTAATCCTGTACTTTTACCAACAATACTAAACCTAGACGACTTTTTTGTTACAGTTGAAGTAAGAATAAAGACATCATATAGTCCGGAAAGATAGCAATTCAAATATGAATCTTTTGATCTTTGGATATAACACATGCAAATGAGTCATTAAAATACAACAAAAGAATTAGTCTTTTATCTACAATTATTTTAAATATTGTTTTTAAAATTTATTTCCAGAATTTCCAAGACAAGACATTGATATTTTATGTGCGTTATCCTCATATTTACTAGATCTAAATTAATTTGAAACCCGCTTCTGTCGTCCGGTCTCGGGGTTTCATAAGATACCTTTAGGATCCTATATTTTTGTAGCATATACATTATTTACCGTCAGTTAAAAATGACGTCTTGCAATTGTCAAATGAAGATCGTCAAATAAAATGTCGACCATACAGTGTGTGCTATAGACTGATTACTGTACAGATTTCGATACCAAAAGACAGACGGAATTATGCATCACTATTTCATGCAGTTTTGTTTATTAAAGTATTTTTATTCATTTGTTTAGGTAGAAATGTTGTCCGGCGATAATAGCGGATATCGATTTCAAACAGCAGGATCAGCGATGACCAATAGTAATAACGATTTTGGTGGACTAGTATATGCTTATACAAATAGCAGTGTACAAACATGGGTGCCAAATGAAAAGGGTCATGTACAATTTGTAGGATACGACTGGGGAGGCGGTGTATGCTCAAGTCGGGAGAATGTTGGTCATTTAGCAGTTAAATTATTTACTTTCCGAGATAATAGTAAGTAAAATCGGTTTTGTTGTAAAATATTAGGACCTGAGAAGTCTTATCTAAACTGTGACGAGACACGTTTTTCTAGTGCAGAATTGATATGTTACTGTGATAAACACACATTGTGTCAAAAAATGCCACGGGAACCTATATGTTTGGGATTTAAAAATACTGTCCTAATAGTTTTTTCTTTAATTCTAGCAAGGTTTCGTCCTAAAAATCAACTTTCTAAAGTCTCTATCTCGAAGAAAATTAAAGCTACTATTGTCGCCTACTAGAACATCAATTGTATTTTGCATTCATTATAATGTATGCTTAATGTTCAACGAAACATAATATCAATAAGACATAGATTACTCACTTGTCTGTCTACGTTGTGCTAGCGTTTATTGTTTACAAAAAGTCCTACGCAACCTTTACAATAGAAAAAAAAACCCTCGTACTGAGTCACTAAAGTCGAGCGCACCCTTGTTAAGGGACTATCCGATTTGAATTTTCCTTGGTATTTTTGTTTCTTTTACGTTTTTGTTAATGTGTGCTTGAATATGTCCATATTATTATTTGTTTTAACAAATATCTTCATTTGGAAAGTTGTTTTAGGGAAATAATCTATATGTTTGACATTGAAACAAAAAAGGGTACCTTAATCTGTGCGTTTTAGATAGGGAGTTACTGCATGCAGTAAACATTTCGTTATATACAGGCATACAGAAGTTGTCATAAACTTTGACATACAAAATTCCCCGGAATTTTATTCAAATGTTAACTTCCCAAAACTTGTTTTTTTGTATTTATTTTTTATTATCTTGTGTCTCGTTAGAAATTAGTTTTTTATTGGTCAATTATCAGTTAGGACGTCATACTAGTATATTCGTTCTTTTCTCTAAACATGTAACAGTGACGTCACGAAAGTTGCAACCATGCCTGAAAAACACAACTTTTTGATAATTTGAAAGGAAAGAAAAAGTGTCTGAAAAGCCTTAGAGAAACAGATATCATCACGGACTTGAATGCGAAACGATTGTTTTCCACACTCGATAGTTAAATTTTAAATATTCAACATGCGCGGAAATCCACGTATTATAAATGTTAAGATGTTGAGTAAAAAAGTATCGTATAACATTCGATGCAGTAGTTTGACGTAACAATAAACTTAAAGAAAAAGTTATAAAAAATTACAGTTGTCTTCTGACTTTTCAAAATAAGATAATTTGGCTTGAAAACAATTTCGATTGTTTATTTTACCTAAACATAACGAACATGAGGAATAGAAAAAATGTGTAAAAATAGAACATACTCATACCTCACAAAACATGTTTAACCCCGCCGCAATATTGAGCCTGTCACAAGTCAGGAGCCTCTGGCCTTTGTTAGTCTTGCATGCATTTTTAAAAATTTAGTTCATTAATATGTTTTAGAGTTTAGTGTGACGTCCATTTTCACTGAACTAGTACACATTTTTGTTTAGGGGCCAGCTGAAGCCCGCCTACGTGTGCGGGATTTTCTAGCTCTGTTGAAGACCCATTGGTGTCCTTCGGCTCTGTTCTGCTCTTTGGTCGGCTTGTTGTCTCTTTGACACATTCCCCATTTCCATTCTCAATGTTACTTATCATCTGATCAAAAATTGGAATTGCGCCTCTTTTAGTTATACGTAATAACTTCACCATCAAATTTGTATGATGAACTCTTTTCAACTTCAAATGGAAATAACATTTTATTTGGTTGATCTGAAACAATCTTCTTAATAAACCTTCACCAGGAGCGCTCAAGCCTAAAAGGTGGAAGCAAAGGATTAATAACTACTACAAAACAAAAGGAGCTATATTACTAAATGATATCTAAACGAACAGCCACATTCATCAAAGTTCAACATTGTCTGAGGTAGTTGGATCCTAAGTTTTTTCAAAATCTCGTAATTTATCGATAGGAGAGTTTAAGAAAATTATGAAATAAGTCATGTAACTATCGAAGTACTGACTACGGAGTTGATGATACATTCAAAAACTAGTAGTCCATAAATAATGCTAGAAAATAAAAATGTGAAAAAAGTAAAAAATTGCAATTCAATTCAATTACCGCTATACCTCCGTGTACCTGTTTGTGAAGTTCGTTACATAATAAATTTTAATATATGTTATCCATTAGGTCTTATGTATTTGACAAATAACAATTATAGCAAATACTACAAATATATTTCATATTTTTATTTTTAGAAACGTGTGGAATACCAGCATCGTATCCGTTTAGTACAATTACGTACAATAACGTGCTGAATAATAGCATAGCAAGATATACATGCACGTACGGATACACACTGACTTCCGGAGATCTTGTTCATCAATGTATATTTCCAAATTGGATTGGAGACCCTCCTAGTTGTCAACGTAAGTGAATCAAATCAGAACAAACATTATAGTATTCTGTTTAAACTTCCATTGTTTTTCAATAAATTGAAATAAAGTGAGACAATTGAATTTTAAAATAAACACAGTTGTGTTAAAAGAGAAAATTCATATGAGTTATGTTCGAAGTAAACATTTTTCAGAGTATTCTTACACTGTCAGTAATAGCTTTTGTGCTCCAAATTTTGACATTACAGCTAGAATCATAAGTAATATTTTTACTGTACCGTATTCGGTCTTCTTATATGCGCAGAATTGGACTTCCAATCAAGACAAAAGTAATAATTAATAAATTACATTGTTTCTGTATCTTAGAACCAATAGAAAAACAACGGGTATGGGGTATCCATCCATGACGCGAAATCAGTACATGTACCGAAAAAAAACACACAAAAAGCAAAGGAATAGCGCTTTAAATTCTGTTTTGTATCTCAAAGTCACAGTTATGCCTTGAACACGGAGCAAAAGAAACTCTCGCCTCAATGCAAGCTTAAGACGGCCCTAAGCACGGGTTTGATCGGAACTATTTTCAAAATATTTTAGTTATCACAAATCTGCTTTATATGTTATGATTTTCCATGTTATATGTATGTGTTCCCATTGAAATGTCATTCATACCTTTCGGCTGCTGTAACATTGTTAAGACGTTAACAGAAATATCACAGGAATTGTATAATGCATTGTGAACACCATTATACTTACGACAGGGGTCTTGTTAAGTCACCTGAACATTCAAATAATAGCATTTACATGTAAAGTCCCCTTGTTTTGAATTTTATGGAATTTATAAATGACATCAAAGCCAACTTTTAATGTAAATAATTACAAGTTGAAAATAAGCCATTAGGTTATCTGATATTATATAACATTTGTTTTTACTACTGTTTTCCTACCTGTGGAATTCCGTCATCATATCCATTCTCTACAAAAACGTACAGTTACATTACGAATAATAGGTTTGCAATATATTCCTGTATATAAGGATATGAAATGATATCTGGAGATCCGGTACACCAATATCTTTCACTCCACTGGATCGGAACGTCACCTGATTGCCAAGGTGAGTAATGAAGATCAACATGACTAGCTAATGGAATGAGTCACAATACTCACCAGGAATATCATTTTTATCTTAAATGACGGCTTATCTGTTTTTATTTTTTTTCGTTGAGAGCATATTACCAAGATCAAGAACAAATGTGCTCTGATTTTGAATGATTGGAGAAAAAAAGTATTTATAAAATACCAAAATCCAAATTAAATTCTGAAAAAAGGGGAAATTCCATTAAAAATGACAACATCAAACGTTATCAACCGACAACGAGAGATTTAAACAACTGTCTTATTACTCATTTGTTACAAGCATTACAAGGAGAAAATAGAAGAAATATTTCATGAACATTTGCAATACATCTAATTTATATAGTTATCTGTCCTGAATCGTTGTCATTTGATCTGCATATGGAACACATGCTATCCATTGCTAAATTGACAAAAAGAATAACCGGGGTATAGCTAGAGATATGATCAAATGGAACTTCTTCAGAGGTAATCACATTCTGAAGAGGGACTTCCATCCGACTGTGTGGGATTGGATAACACACAGCCACGTCCGGGCGGAGTGGGGACGTGAACAGAGAGGCACGAAAAGGGAGAGTGTACCATGCTCTCATGTTGAAGAATCATTGCAGCAACTCTTTGAGGGGTCCGTCGATGGTCTGTTGCAAGACGAACTTTCAGCCAATGTATTCAACGTACCCTCATTTTTTTCAGTGGCAGTCGAAATTTTTCCCGCTCTTCGTCAGTCGACCCCTTTGAATAACCTACATTGTATCTATTGAATCTATTTGTTAGCTGATCTCATCTTGAAAATGCATGCAGTATATCCAAATTGACTCTGAGCAGTCAACAACCAGGTAATCAATCAACGTTAAGAAAGACTGAAATGAAGCACGAACGTCATGACAACTGAGAAATACAACAAAACATCTTTTTGGTCACCTGAGTCAATATAAGAATATCTTTCAAGAAGGTGGTATAGTGATACTTCGTCAATTTATCATTTAATATCGGTAACCTGGATATGAATTATCGTTGTGTTACTGAAATCCTTTCATACATGCGATTTAATGTTCATGATACATGTATCATATTATGATGTATATACTCTATATCACTGAAGAGTCTTTAATGGATATGCTTTCCAATGCTTTTATTGTATTCATTTAATCAAAAATTAGACGAGCCAATAATTTAAGGATTAACACATGAACACATTTCATAATTCGAATACATGTGAAAAAATGTATGCATGGTATGTAATCCAATAAATATATTTTGTACACCTGATAAATTTCAATTATAACATATCCTACCAAATATATTTATAATTGGTTTGTTTTTCAGAAACGTGTGGAATACCAGCATCGTATCCCTTTACTACTTATACGTACAATGACGTAACAAATAATAGCATAGCACTATATACATGCACGCCCGGATACACACTGACGGCTGGAGATCTTGTTCATCAATGCATATCTCTACAATGGATGGGAGACCCTCCTAGTTGTCAAGGTTTGTTAGTCAAATCAATCATAGAAAAATATATAAGTGTTCCATTCAAACTTTCATTGCTTTCCAATGTGATTATTGTTTTCATAAATTAAAAACTAAACGAGCCAATAATTTAAATATTAACACATGAATACATTTCAAATGAAATAAAAAAAAAAATGTATGCAGTCCAATAGATATGTTTTGTTCACCTGATAAATTTCAATTATAGCATATCCTACCAAATATATTTTATAATTGTATTTCTACAGAAACGTGTGGAATACCAGCATCGTATCCCTTTACTATACTTACATACAATGACGTAACAAATAATAGCATAGCAGTATATACATGCACGCACGGATACACACTGACGTCTGGAGATCTTGTTCATCGATGCATATCTCCACAATGGATTGGAGACCCTCCTAATTGTCAAGGTTATTGAGTCAAATCAATCACAGAAAACATAATAGTGTTCCATTCAAACCTTCATTGCTTTCCAATGCTATCATTGGTTTTAAATAAATTAAAAACTAGACGAGCCAATTATTTAAATATTAACACATGAACACATTCCAAATGATTTGAAAAAAATTATCCAGTTCAATAAATATGTTTTGTTCACCTGATAAATTACAAGTATAGCATATCCTACCAAATATATTTATAATTGGTTTTTTTCAGAAACGTGTGGAATACCAGCATCGTATCCCTTTACTACTTATACGTACTATGACGTCACAAATAATAGCATAGCACTATATACATGCACACCCGGATACACACTGACGGCTGGAGATCTTGTTCATCGATGCATATCTCCACAATGGATCGGAGATCCTCCTAGTTGTCAAGGTTAGTTAGTCAAATCAATCACAGCAAACATAATTTTAGTGTTCCGACCAAACATTCATTGCTCCGCATTTTTTATATTATATTCAATAAGTAAAAAAAAGGAGAGACAATAATTGAAAAATGTATCAATGAACACATTTACAAGTGTTGTTAAAGGAGAAATGAACATAAGTTATTTCAGTAATTATTTTTTAAAATATTCTTACACAGAGCAGTCTATTTTTATGAACGGTATTATGTCATGGACAAACAGCAATAGTGTAACATTGTTTTCATATTATAATACTATAGTAATTCTGTAAAATATGTTTTAATTTTGCTATGTTTATAGCAGACATAACCATTTCCATAAACTCGTTTCCGGATCATTAATTCACTCGTAATTTCAAATATGAGTCAGGTTATTCCCAATGACAGGAAGTTGAACTGCTTCGCTGCAGTGAATCAAACACTTTACACATTCTTGTTAAAAAGTTGGGAACGTAGGTTAATTAACGTAACATTTTTTTTTCTATTTACTTTTCACTGCAGCGAACCTGTATTATATAAGTTTTCTCCCCAACACGGGAATAATTCGTATTCAATTGTAGTTTTTTAATCCGATTCGGGGTTTCGGAAGTGAGTTTCTAGTGTGTGTTTTATATAAGTTTAAATCTTATTGACGACTTCCTGAAATCCTTTCTTATTTATATTTGTTCTTCATTTCCGGCTGCTTTAACGGTATCAAGACAGTAGTTGATTATCCACAATCACTAACACAATAACAGAATGTATTTACGAACTCCACAAGTTCTTTATACACCCAACTAATCGCGAGTATAATATGTGTACAGTCCTTGAATTGTGTTATGAAATTATGAAATTTATATACAAAATCAATTTGAAAGACATCCTGAATTATAGATGAGCATAAGTTGAAAATTAGCCATTTTAAAATCTGATATATTATAGTATTTTAATCTTGTATTTCAATAGAAACCTGTGGAATTCCAACATCGTATCCATTCTCCACAAACACGTACAGTCACCTTACAAATAATAGCTTCGTTATATATGCCTGTATACAAGGATATGAAATGATATCTGGAGATCCGGTACACCAATGTCGTTCACCCCAATGGATTGGAACACCTCCTAAATGCCACGGTAAGTAGCTTGGACCAAAATGACTATATCGAATGGAATGAAACACAATTGTCTTCCATTATCATTCGTGTCTGAAAGAACGGAACGGCATATGTGTTTTAATGCAAATAATTAAGTGCCCATGAACAGGAACCAAGATACTCTGATTTAGGGTGAGAAGAGAAATAAAAGATATATCCCGTCGACATTTGCAATTAACCTTCGCTTTTAGGGTTTAAATATCATGCATCTTTTGTATTTAATCTGCAAATGAAGCACCTGCTTTGTACAGCTAAGACCCCAGGGAATGACTATTGTATGGATATATACTGGACTTTGCCTTCAAGAGGAAAACGTGTGGAATGTATAAATACACAACCACTTGATGTTTCGAATAGGGATAGTATCACGCCCTCTCCGCGTTTAAGGACCCTTGCAGTCACTCACTGAGGGCCCCGTCAATAGTCTGTTAGAAAGCAAAATTTCAGAACCTACATGTACTTGACGTACTCCTATTTTTCAGTGACAGTGGAAATTCTCTCTATTTTTTTTTGCGGTTAATCTTCCATTGTAACTATAGCATTTATTGGGTATTTCATTCTATCCTGAAAATGCATGCAATATTTCCCACTGTACATTAAGCAGCAAAAAGCTAGCAATCAATCAATGTTAAGTAAATTAAGGCGACAGTAAATAACCAATAGTCAAATCTCGAAAATTGATTAGGAAGAAACATATGAAGGTAACAAACAGAAACTGAGGGATTTGCATGAACTCCAAAAGCAGTGAAACCGGATGTGTCCACAGGTTAATCACCCAACATATGGGTAAGATTAGAATGAAGTAAGACTTGAGTGTAGCACAAAAGGCTTCGAAATATAAAGAAAAAACATCTAAATGTCATCAGAGTCAATATAAGCAATTAATCATACATTGGTCCTCGAGTTTTACATCAGCTCAATATTTCAGGTTGAAAATTTGGGAAACTATTTACAAATTGCAATTCCAACTATGCTTTTTGTGTCCGTTTCGGTTTACTTTGTTGACAACGTTTATAGTAACAACACCCAAAGTTTGATTGGATTATAGAAATATTGTCACCATTGCACATATTTTGTCCGGCAGTAAATTTGTGTTGAAGTTGAGCGTCCGTTTGTCTGTGCGAGATGTATATATACGTAACCACGTCCGATCAGTTATTATGCGTAGAAGGAGTGTAACAAGGCAACATTTCTGCAGCTTTCAAAGTTTGCAACATAGTTTTAACCATATCTTCCATCGCATTTTCATTTTTTTTACTTATGAGTTTAATTATTTCTTTGATAGCTTTCACCTCTCTTTTCAAGTGACAACTCAATTACCTGCCCTTCATCACAGTCTACCTACCTTGCAGAAATACATATTGTATCGTTAAATTAGTTGTATTCCTAAATGTGTAAGAAATGTTTTGTCAGTGTACTGAAAGTCAAGGAAGCTGGAATACAAGCAATCAATTATACATAGTTCCAGTGTTTTCATTTTATACATATTTACTAGAGCGATACGTCCGTAAACAGTTTCGGTTTGACATGAATTATTGTGCACATAAATTGAAATATATTGTGATTTTAAAATCAATCTTATCTATTATAAGATAATTTGTTCAATGTTTTATTTCTATAGAAACTTGTGGAATACCAACATCGTATCCTTTCTCTACAAAGTCATATGGTCATGTGACAAATAATAGCTTTGTATTATATAAATGTTTACACGGTTATGAAATGACGTCTGGAGATCCCATTCACACATGCGTTTCTACTTTTTGGATAGGAACTGCTCCTATTTGCAAAGGTGAGTTAGTCAATACATCATAAACATAACTATCCTTTAGATATGAACTAATAATACCATACTCTTAGAGTACTTTGAACTGGAATATAAACGGATAATATTATATTGGCGAGAGAAAAAAGATCATTGAAAGTGAATCAAAAGTACATATAACACTAAGGGAAACTAAAGATTGAGCAACACGAACCCAGTCAAAAATGAACAGATCCTTGAAGTTCAAACAGCTTCAACTACACAAGTGAAACCCAAGCTGCTGCTTATTACAAGTAGGAAAGAAATGTTGATGGCGAGTAATAAAATAAAGAACAGCAGAAAAAACATTCGACTACAATACATATCAATAAAAAAAACTAATAGATTTGCATATTTTATGCGCATTATTATATGTATATCGTATCGAAATATTAAATGTCGCTTTAATATAGACTTTTGAAGTGCAGAATATTTACAGAAAGTTGCGGAACCCAGCCTTCGTTTTACAATACAACATATTCGTACGATGACACTATAAATGGAAGTATAGCGGTGTACAAATGTAAAAGTGGTTATTTCATCCATTCGGGGGACACTTTGCATGAATGTAAACCACCAGAGTGGACTGGTTATCCTCTTAAGTGCAGCAGTGAGTATTACAATGTTTTGTTTTAATAGCCTGTCGTGTTACACATCCATACAAACTTATATTGAACAACACTGTTGAACACAAACTAATCAAGAAGTCAGGTGTCTGTTAGGGTAAACGGTTCCTGTCCATGTAGAACTACCCGTCGTGATGATCATGGGAAATTTAAATTTGTTGATGAGTCTCATTTGGTGAGATCAAAAACTAGGAAAGGATATTGTCTTATGACTGTGGCCTTTTATCTATTTCTTGCATGAATAAATATTTCTCGTATTACACTGTACGGAGTGTGACACGAAAAAGTGATACGAAAATCTGCATTAATTTGATTGGCTTATCCAGCATTATAAGACGATATAACGGCAATTCCATTGGCTATTCGTTAGGTCATTGATGACTTTCATGGCAACGGACATATGTTATTTCTTCAATAATATACAAAACAATCACACTTTTCACCCGACAATCTTCTTTTTGTTAAATTTTATTACATTTTGAAGCGTACAAAAATTCTTAAAATGTCTGATGTTAAAGTTTGACACCGGAAAAGGACATATGACGTCATACATGCATGTGCTGAGACTTGATCATCGATTCGCGGAATATTTAATTTAACACAATGAGAGTGTTGACCATAAGAGAAATAGGTTTAACGACTTGTGAGAATTGGATATCGCTTGATATCAACTCTCGTTATTTAATTTAAATAGTTATAATAAACTCACCGAAGGCTCGTTTATAATTATATTGAAATTAAATAACTCGATTTGATATAAAGCGATATCCCATTCTCACTCGTTATGAAACCTACAAATGACATTATGATGAGGAACACAAACATGATAAATCATTTCACAGATATCCCATATCTGTTATCTAAATTTTGAGATACAACTTTCTATCAGGAAGATTATAATTTAAAATTCTTACCCTGTAATATCGTATGACCTTGGTCATATTAATAAAGGGAGATTTGGGATAAATGACAGCAGCCCAACGGTGTCTCTACAATATGTCAAGTTCTAAATCGTCCCGAGATTATAAATGGAGTGAATAATTTAATAGAAACAACGAAAGATATGATAAAATCGTATTCCATATAAAGTATTACGAATATGTTGCAACATAACAGTAGACATTTTTCACAGTAAGAAAATAATTGTTCTGTTTCTGAAGCCAAAATGTATAAATAGTTTTTTCAAATATAAGTGTTTGTGTGCTTCTCTTCTTGCTATTTCTTTAATATTATCACATTGAACGTTAAATTGATGTAATCTTTAGAGCAGTTTATAGAGTTTCCCGTTCTATTGTTATTTATATGATTTGAAATATGATGGAGATGAAGATGGGATCTTTGAAAATTTGTAAAATATAGCAGAGGCCACCATGGAATGCGATTTATAAATTTGGCTGACTTAGATTATATTAATAGAACTTATGTAAAAATAGTAAGACAAAACCTTATCCTTCACATTTAAACCTTGACAACTGACCTATACTTATTATGATTTAGATGAATTGACAGTTGATGATATATCGAAATTAAAAGAAGACATCAAAAAGGAGCTCTTAGTAGACAGGAAAAGTACCACTGCATACATCAATAGTAAAACATCGGCAGCAGACCCGCGACCTTCCAGTAGAACGATTGGTACCGTAGGTATTTCTGACATTATGCCTGTCCATAATACTGTTATTAGATATGATATTTCTGACATTATGCCTGTCCATAATACTGTTATTAGATATGATATTTCTGACATTATGCCTGTCCATAATACTGTTATTAGATATGATATTTCTGACATTATGCCTGTCCATAATACTGTTATTAGATATGATTCAGTGTGACAAATACCGACAGATGTTCCATTCTTGCTTCGAATGATCTGGGTTAAATTGTGTCAAAAATGACTAAACATTGATAACTCAATTTAGTAAATAAACTTTTTGTTTTTACCGGGTTTGTACTTACTTGAGAAACATGACGGATGCCACGTATGGGGCAAAACTGCTTACCCGTCCGAAGCATCCGCTATCACCCCGCCTTTTTAGGTGGCTCGCGTGTTCTGCAGTCTTTAGTTTTCTAGGGTTGTGTTTTGTATATTGTTGTTTGTCTTTTTGTCGTTTTTTGCCATGGTATTGTAAGTTCTAGTTCGACGTTTAAGTTTGATTACCCTTTGTTGTATTTTGCCTCCCTTTTAATTTAAATAATTAAGTCATCTGTTTTCTCTATGTTTTATTTCATTAACTACCTGATAAAAACGTTCATGTGAGGTACATGTATTTATAAATAGACAACACACAAACAAAACGTATAAAAATAAAGACCATCAAATATGTGTTCTTATTTCTTCTATTTATAGAATGTTCTCTCAAGTCGGAATGTTTAATAGATTAAAATGCCACCGAATAAGATTGAATTTCCCCAAGGTGTAGAATTAAGTGTTTAGTAATATGAACTTGTTAAAAAAACGTAGCTATTCTTGTATAAAACCTTTTCATGTAACGAGTTCTGAGGCTGTGGAGTAATAAAACATTGCAAATACAACACACTATTAAATTACACACACTGAAATTTATATACGCGTTCAATCCATTACACTCAGATTTCCTCTACAAGAAATCACAGAAACGATATAACATTCTGCAGGTGATTCTTATATAGTTATATACAATTATGTTATGCAAATATCTAATAAAAAATATATCAAAGCAACAGCTCAAATAGAGGTACAGCGATTTATAACAGTGTTTTTGTTTATAAAATTAAAAATCTTAATAGAGCTGAGGTAGAATTAAACAGCAAATGTTCTTGGTCAAAAGCATTGCATATAAATATATCACATACAAAAAGATATATCCTTTGCGAAAAATAAAATAAAGGTAAATAACAAACAGCAAAACAAAAATACAAAATACAAAATAAAATAAAACATTACGCAATACTAATCCTATGACAATCTGAGGTTACATTGAGGTGCTCCAAAGATAAATCTCTTCCTACCTCATTACAGACACTTGTCGTGTTAAGTATACTGATTGCAAATGAGAATACAAGGATTAATCGCATTCGGTAATGTAATGCCATATTCCTCATAAAGAGAACTGGACAGTGGTTCCGACAAGTTAAACATATTGTTGGTCCTTTTTCGTTTTTTGCCATAGCATTGTCGGTTTTCTTAGATTAAATATTTCTTTCGTATCTTTCACCTCTCTTACGGTCAACTTTGGCGTAGATACGCGTCAAACAAATCATGATTGCGTCTGAAAAACGTTTATAAAATAGCTTCAGCTTTACCAATAGAAACCCTTGATGCAATATATGAAAACAACATGGCACGAAATATAACTTCGTTACTATATTTGGTATCAAATTACAACAGCTACTAGCTGTGCTATGAAAAAAACAACATAGTATACATGTACGTATATAAAGAACAAGGGAAAATGAGTTCCCCAAAATTTACTTTTACATGAGGAAAATTGTTAATTTATTTAATAAAAGATTATTAAACAAGCAAACAGAGTTAATATTAATCCCAAAAAAACGAGATAATATTTTTTGCAGCAATTGATATGTGATCGTATTATATAATTTAAATAAGGCTTAATGGTCTTGTCTGCTCCATATTGCAAAAGTAGTCCCTGCAAATCGGTATTCCCAGAAGTTAGGAAAAGTGGGGAAATGTTATTTTCATCTTGTAAATTTACATTAGCACCGTTATTTAAGAGTACTTTTAAGGCTTCACTGTGCCCATTAGTCGTTGCAATTGATAATGGAGATCTTCCTTGGTTGTCGCAGATATTTGGATTAGCTCCATATTTAAATAGAGTACTTATTAATTTTACATGCCCTTTTCTTGACGCAATGTATAATGGTGTCCTGTTGTTTTTATCAACGAAATCTACGTGTGCATTGTTTTCCAGGAGTTCGGTTACAACAGCAAGGTGGTTTTGATAACACGCTGCAAATAATGGAGACCTTGACGTGTTATTTGATAAGTTTACATTTGCATCTGTCTGAAGAAGATACTTTACTATTTCTTTATGTCCATTCTTTGACGCAATAAACAGGGGTGATTCACCATCATGGTTGCATGAATTGATATTTCCTCCTTCTTGTACAAGAACGCGTAAGACCTCTAAATGACCTCTATCCGAAGCGCGATGTACGGCAGATGTCCCATCATTTTTGCACAAATTAACTGTAGCTCCACGTTTTAACAATTGTACAATTGCCTCAGTGTGTCCAACAGTTGCTGCAAGTATTAACGGTGGTGTTCCAGAGTGATTTCCTTTATTAATGTCTGCATTTTTATTTATGAAAAGATCCATCGCATCCCAGTGACATGAATAGGCAGCTGCTAGAATAGGGAGAAGATATGCACTGTCTGGCATATTGACATCCGCACCTAACTTTAACAATTCTTCAATACTTGCTAAATCCCCACGTAAACAGGCAGCCGATAACGGAGTTTTGCATCTGTGGGGATTCTTTTTCTTTTCTGACCAACTGGCCGTTATTGGTAACAAAGCTCCATTTATACAATTAGAGCTTACATGTTGTTGTATCAATCTCAACATATCAAAATTTCCACTGAAGCATGCGAGTATTAAAAGTCTAGTTTGTTCTGTTTCACTTGTACCAAATATTATGTCTGTAGATTCATTATTGGACAAAACCAAGTCAATAATAAACTTCAAAAGCAATGTGTGCCTATAATATATAACCCAACTGAGAACTCGAATTTGGTATATTACTGAGTTGTCAGTTTTAACTATTTTGTCCAGAAGTATATCTTGACTTCTACTTACAAAGGAATCTCTAAACCTGTCTTTATTCATAACTTTTTCGATGACGCTCTCCCCTTGATTAACGATATGTGTCGATATACTGCCAGTTTGAATGGACAAAAAGAGGTCTTTGATTTCTTCATATGCCTTTTTCCCTAACATCTTCAGAAAAAAAATCAGAAATGGTTCATAAGTCAATGATTTGTTCATGAAAACATCAAAAAGTTCCATAGTCGTGATATCTCTGTAAATCCTGTTTCCCAAGGACGAATAATGTTGCTCTCGTACTTTAACATACAAACATTGACTTAATTCCTCGGGTATTACCCGCACCTTATGAGCAATGTAGTTACTGTCTAGGTACTCTATTATCAAATTAGGATATTGATTTCCGAAATGGGAAGCGGTAACTTCGAATATGCTATCATGGATGAATCGGAACACACCATCACATCATGTCACATACGTCTCCAACATATGATCTAAAGCATCTAACAAATCCAACTCGGGCGTCCCATCGTTAAGCCGACATTTATTATAAACTAATTGCTTGACCTTAATTTCTGGAAAATCGTCCTCCGATAATTTCCCTTTGTTGATCATGCATAAGACTAGTGCTGCATAATGGGTTTTGCTTCTACACTTCAATTCATCTAACTTTTCATATAAACATTCATGTGGTTCATTGAAAAATCGCAATCCAATATCTTGGTACTTTTTCTCATTTGCAAAAAGGCGACATAAAAGAGGAAACATAATGTTTGCTGATTCAAACGACCAGGACGTATACTTATTTGGGTTTATACCTACTTCAGAACAGTGCTTCTTCAGGATGCATCGTTTTTCATCTTCGCTTACACAAAACTGCGTACTTTCTAAGTCAACAACATGTTTTAGGAAAAATACCGTTGTCGATTGAAAGGCGCATAGCATTTCAGTTGCCTTAAATACTGATTTACGACACGTCATAATCAGTTTCGAACCATTCTCTAAAACTGACAACAGCAGCTCTTGTCTTCGTTCTAATTTATTCACCTTGTCAGGATTAACTCCAAAGACGCCTAATATATCATCATATAAAAATATTTGCTTTTTGTTTGCATTTCCGTATTTAATAATTTCACTTGGAGAATATACTGGTACTAGCTGGTACCCTTTTTGCATATAAATCAATGCAACATGATGAGAGGTAGCCGTTTTTCCTGATCCTGGACTTCCAATTATCATTACGCAATTATGTTTGTTAATGGCTGACATTACTTCCTCAGAAGCCTTAGTTACTGCAAAGGTTTTTTCATAAGGAATCCATTGTTCAATTACCTTGAGATGAGATGCTGTAATATGAAAATGAATACTGATATATGACGTTACATGTTGAAAATTAACACCTTAAAACCTTAAACATAATTTTAAACAAAAGAATAAACAAATAAACACGAAGATAATCCGCTTAGAGGTAAACACTCGGGTTGTGTCTCTTTGATACATTCCCCACTTCCATTGTCTATACTATAATATAAAAATGCTGGCAGATTTCACATAGAAGGTTTATCCCCAAATATTATAGTTTATATTCGACGGAACTCTTGTTTACCTATGTTTAAATCTCATAAATATAATAAAAAGATAAAGATCAAGGTAAAACACTTGAACAACAAGAAATGATTGTAACAGGATGCTGTTACGAAGTCTCCCATACGAAGCTCCCATAATTCGTTATTCCTATGGTCGCCTGACATTGGGCAAAGTCCAGTACAAATTGATTTAGTCCAGTAAAGTGATATGCATTAGTGACGCCTAGAGACTGACCCTGCATGTCATTCAAATCTATGTGAAATGATGAATAGGAATATATATGGTTTAGGGGCGGGGATCTCGACCATTTTAAAAGATATTAGAACATTTGGGGTTGGGAGAACCCCTGGGGACTGACCCTATATATTATTCAAATCTTTGGAACATGATGAACAGGAATATATATGGTTTAGGGGTGTGGATCTCGACCATTATCAAGATATTTGAACATATTCAAATGACTGGGGGTGGGGATGACCCCTTGCGTCTTACCATGTTTATTATTTAAATTATCTTGGCATGACAAACAAACATATATATGGTTTAGGGGTAAAGATCCTGACCACTTACAAGATATTAGAACTTTTTAAAATGGCAGGGGGTCGGGACGACACCTGAGGACTTACCTTGTTTATCATTTAAATCATCTTGGCATGACCAACCAGAATATATATGGTTTAGGGGTGGGGATCTTGACCACTTACAAGATATTAGAACTTTCTCAAATGGCAAGGGGTCGGGACGACTCCTGGGGACTAGCCGTGTTTATCATTCAAAGCATCTCGACATGACAAACCAGAATATATATGGCTTAGGGGTGGGGATCATGACCACTTACAAGATATTAGAACTTTTTCAAATGGAAGGGGACGAGGATGACCCCTGGGGACTAACCCTGTATTTCATTTGATGTGCTTTATCATGACAAACCAAAATATATATGGTTTTGGGGTGGGGATCGTGACCACTTCCAAGATATTAAAACTTTCTCTAATAGCATGGGGTGGGGGGTAACCCCCGGGGAATAAGCTTTTATTTCATTTAATGTGCTTTATCATTTAGAACATTTTCAATTATAAAGATTGTGTCTATCACTAACTGTTTTCAAGTAATAATCATTTTAAAATAAAAAAAAAATAAAATCCCATAGGGTTCTATAGTAAACCACTCCTTCCTTTATGCCCCTCAAAGTACCTCTTTATAAACCCCGTTGCACAAACAAAACCCTGATTGCACCACTAGACCTGTTAGTATAACATATCGTGAAACCCTAAGTTAATCTGACCAGTGGTTTTGGAGAACGGGTGCGGACAAGTTTGGCGGAAGAAGAAGAAGAAGAAGAAGAAGAAGAAGAAGAAGAAGAAGAAGAAGAAGAAGAAGAAGAAGAAGAAATAATAAGAACTGAGCAAAAACAAAAAGTCTTCCCAAACTTCGTTTTGGAGACTTAAAAATATGAAAAAGAACAAACCGAGGCTTTTACTGCTTCAAAAAGTTTCGAATTATCATAATCCTAATGTCAAGCAATATATGATAACTAATATGCTGGCTCATTGGTTTATATTTTCTCTATATTTTTGTTTGGTTTCGAATGAAGCACAATTGAAAATGCATTTTTTAAAACTATATAAGTTGTTATATGTAAGAGAACTCAAAAATCACTTTTTTATTAAGATGTTTTCAATGTTGTCTTTTGTCTGAAGAATTGTCTTTTTAAAGACTTTGTTTTCTACATTAAAAAAGGGCTTCGGTATGATTGACTTTCCACCAAAAATGACGAAGATATTGATTTCTTGGTGTTTTGTTTTTGTCCTTGTATTTTTTGCTTTTGCTATTTTGTTTTGTATTGTTTTTGTGTGCTTTGTGTAATATATAAAAAAAATGTTTGTGCTGTTTTCTTTCGTATTTTATGTATACGACATTACACTCAAACGACGAATTCGTAATCAACTTGACGAAAGAACACGTTCAGAACAATACATATTCTTATTCAACTGATTCCTGAAACAATATCAGGTATCTCAATAGATAAAATGTTTGGCACAAAAAAACATGTAGTACGGCCGAATTCTCAACGCAAATAGTATTTTATCTTTTACGGGTAAAATTGAATAAAAGTTTGATGTGTATTCAATTATTGGTGAACACTTACAGATAAAAATCGACTAAATCAGTTTCAGTGTGCAATACCAAAACTTTGAAAACCAAATAAAAAACATCAAATATTTGAGTGCATATATCATGTTTATAGCAATACTCTCAAGATTGAAATAGATTGCAAATTGTCTTAAGTTTGTTGTTTATACAATTAAAAAGGAATTTATAAAACCCAATTTTAAAACAAATCTCTTTAGTGGATTACTGCCGTGCTGTATGTTAAAACAATTTACGTTTGTTTTTCAAGTTTTAGGCAACCTACAAATAAAGTTAGACAGAAAAACAATTACAAATATTCGTAATTCAAATAACGAATTCAAAGTACGGTATGATTGTCAGGGAACAAATGAATCCATAAACACAACAGGACCAAGACATGAACAATTTCCTGTCATCACAAGGCCTTAAAACCCAAACTAAATAGTAAGCTACATGTATACAAGGGATGATAATATGTGAAACAATCCAGAACAGAAATCCAACAACTTGATTCATATTATAGTTTTCAACGCAAAATAGTTATTGTGTACAGCATCCGACAACAAGCTTCTGATGGACGGTTCGATTCCGAGAGGACCATCAGCTCAGTAGTCAATGTGTGGGTATTAACATGATTTACATTTCGTGAATTCTTCGTTCTTAAATTTAGCAATAGTTGACCTTAAACAGATTTTAATATCTATATATTAAGGTCTCTCTTGTCATAAATCTGTGCACATGTTCAGTTAGTAATACATACTTGATTTTCTTGGATTGAGCGTTCAAGATGAACGTAAATCGAGAACAACACTTCAGACGCACCAACTTTATAATTTGTTGATTTTATTTTTCATTTTTTTGGTACTTGGTTGATATTGCTACTGATGGACAATGAATCCCTAAGAGTATCATTAGCTCCAAAGTTAGTGACTCGGTAGTGTACATGATTTATATAAAAATAAAATTAAAGTTCTAGGTTGATCAAAAAAAAAATGTTTAGTGCTTCGGACGATACAATATGTATAACTAACAATACAACTATTATATTTCAATTTACTTGTGTACGTTATTTTATTGGACGCCATTTTGTCCCATGTTAGAATTGTCTTTCTGACATTGTTTTACATTCCCTCTTTGTTAAGTATTTAATAATATTGTATTTATATTGTGTGATAGATAAAATGTATTCGTTCAGTGTAATATGTTTAATTGTTTTTGTTAATATGTCTTTTTGATCGAGTTAAGTCATTTCAATTGATATTTTATAGTGTATCTTTCTATATTGTAATGTTAAACTACTGATTTAGGTTAGAGTGAAGGTTGGCGCCTGTTAAAACGTTTAAACCCGCTGCATGTGTTTCCACCTGTCCTAAGCCATAAGCCTGTTGTTCAGTGGTTGTCGTTTGTTGATAAGATTCATATGTGTTTCTTGTTTCTCGTTTTTATATAGATTGGACCGTTGGTTTTCCTGTTTTACACTTGTCATTTTTGGGCCCTTTATAGCTTGCTGTTCGGTGTGAGCCAAGGCTCCGTGTTGAAGGTCGTACTTTGACCTATAATGGTTTACTTTTTACACATTGTGACTTGAATGGAGAGTTGTCTCATTGGCACACATATTACATTTTCTTATTTCTACATATAACATATTATTCCTTCTGATCAAAACCTCCCTTCTCATTTTTTTGTAGTTGAATTTTATTGATATTTGAGATAATATTTATTGATTCTTTGTGTTTTAAAGTCACCCGTTTATACATTTTCTAATACTCACATCTAACATTTTCGGGAATGCATTCTTTACCATCCTCCTCAATGTCTTTAAGTTTTCTCTGGAGGCTTTTTATAACTGCATTATCTATATGTACATTACCAGCAATTAAAATTGAAAAATATATATATATATATGACAACAGGGGAGTGAAGAGCATTTACTCAAATGAAATACATTTGTAGCAATTTAAATTGAAGTTAGATAAAATTATTTGGTTTGAACAGGATGACACGTAAACTATACTGCTAACAACAAAAATGTGTAATCACTGATGATTGTCAAATACGGGTTGCTACGAGTTATTTACGGAAAACGTAATCCGTGGGCAACAAAAACAACATTGCCTCTGCTTTCACGGATCCTGTGAGTTGTGACGAGATATTTACGGATACCAGCTAGTAATTTATTGATCCTTGCGATTGACTTCGAGTTGGCAATCAGTGAGGAGTCGTAATAGTAATTTGTGTATTTGAAGAGGGCACAAGACTGAAAATTGTCTAAAAGACTGAATATGACTTGATAACTTGTTCTTCAGTCTTTTAAGAGCTGTTCAGATGAAAATGGCCGTTTCAGTTCAAAATTGGATTATGGTGTATGAATCGAATAGTTTTGTTTTAACCTTGTTATCGATACAATTTGAAATGACGCGTAAGTTTAGCTGTTGCAAGGTTTTCCATTGTTTAATTACCTTTCATATTTTGTAGTACTTTATGCATTTCATTTATCACTTCAGTGGACAGTTCAACTTCAAAAGACAGTTCCTGGGATGAACAACATATTCTTGCTATAATCTAGAGAAGAAGGTAGACATACATCAACTGCATTGTGTAGATCAAAAGCAACTCAATCACAAAAATTATAATGATAATGGGAATAAAAAAAAATTTTTGAATAAAAATCATACCGTACATGTACATGTATCTTTGTCTCAAGTTACTTTAAAAATATCAAATGGTAATAGTGTGCAAATCAAAGCTTTCACTAATATGGCAACAAACATAACTGTATTACAGGTTTGCCATTATCATTCATACCATGGCCTCAAAAGGATAACATTGTACTTACATAAGCAACCGACTTTAAAATCCCATCATATTGTTCATCACTAATCTCTTGAACGTCAATAATATCATTACAGTAATACTGGAGTCTCTCCAATTCACCGTCTACGATGTTCTTATTCATATCCAGTTGGATATTTTGTGATTTGATGTCTATAATCACTTTATACATTACTATTGCAATATCAATAGAAATGGTTCTGAATATTGGGCTATCCATAATTGCTGAAATGTAAACACAGGAACTTCTAAATAACAAATTATAATTGGATATTGTTGACTTAACAATATTAATGAGTCATCATATAACATGTAACACAAAATAACTATATTATAAAAAGCACAATAGCAAAAATACCGAACTGCAAGGAAAATTCACAATGGAAAGTCCATTATCAAATGGCAAAATCAAAAGCACAAACACATCAAACAATTGGAAAACAACTGACGTATTCCTGAATTGGTACAGGCATTTCCTTATGTAGAAAATATCTACGCTGTGTTGTGCTAAAATGTTTTTTTTTTTTTTTTTTTTTAAATATTATAAAAGTAGTGAATACATTTAACAGAAATATTAACTTTTGTCAAAAATAAACCATTGTGTAAGCGTACCTAATTTTTTGTAAAATACACTGTTGCATGCAAGTACAGAAATGGTAGGCAAGATGTAACTTTCGCGTCGTGAACAAGCATATCACCAAAGATACCTTTAAACTCATACGATCATCTCTATGTATTTTTATAACAGTTATGGAAATTATCTAACCTGCAGAATGCTTTTCCTCTTCGGAAACCGCTGTTGTTTCCAACACTTCAGCAAGTTGCTTGTTGACCTCATCCAGTCGCAAAGCGCATAGAAAATGTTTATATGCTGTCTGATTTCTAATTTTTCCGATTAGTTCTCTGACTTGGTCAGATCGATTTGCTGTGGACATAATGTCGCTTGAATCGTCTATGGACAATACTTCAGTTGATATCAAGCTGTCAATCACACTTTCCAGAGAAGTAGTTTGTTGGACTAACATGAAATAATTCTTTTCCAGCCTAATCGTGCATTCATTTATTTCTTCAAAAGAACAGTTAAGATTTGAAATAGTATTTAAAAGGTCTTTAATAATTCCTGTTTCGGTTATATTCAATGAAGGATCAATAACATAAATAAGGAACTGCAGGGGCACTCCGAAAAAAAGTGACAGATAAAATTTTAAAAAATGTACTAAAACACAAATTTGATCCACTGGATTCACCCCTGATACTTCAAAGTTGAAAGAATTAAGGCCGTAAATAGTAATAATGTTGCAAACAGTTGCATATGGGTAACGTTTCGAGTTCAAGTCGAGGCAATGCAATGCCTTATGTAATAAAGTCGTTTTACATCTTTCTTTGATCATATGAAGACAAAATGCTGACGGCTCTAAAATAAAAAAAAATTCTTCACCTGTGAAATGATTTATATATACATAAAAGCGTTTAAGATATCAATCCAACGACAAAAAGCCAGAAACACCTAGGTGACAACATACAGTCTTCAACAACAAAAAAAGAGGACAGAAATTTGATTCAGGCAATTTGAACATAGCCGTGGTAATTTGTGTCAAGGTATTCCATAACGGTCAACAAATTCATGATGGTGTCCGTAAAATTTTATTAGATGTGGCTTCATCTTCACATCAAGGAACCCTAGGTTTAATAGCTTCCATGTAAGCGGTTACCATCAATTACAGCCATCATGATAGATGGTCAATTTCTTAATGTTATTCAAGATATGAGGTATACTAAACTGTGTCTGTGGTATCATTCCTGTCAAGTTAAATGGGAAAATTGCGTTAAATATAGTCCCCATAACAACTTTAAATTATCAACTTTCAAAAATTTCTACCATGTAATGGACCAACAACACGGGATGGCGAATTTAAATGTGTATTCCAATGTAACCAACCTGATCGCTTTAGGTTTTTTGCTGCCGCATCTACTTTTGTATTTATTATTTTCTCAGTCAGGCAGCTGTTTTGAAGACCAGAGTTACGCAACGCATCAATTAATGTATCTCTGACGTTGTAAGGTCGATTCATTAGAAGATCAATTATCATTTTATTTCTTGCAGACTGATTTGGGCATCTTTTGACCTTCTCTCGCTCTTCTAATGATATAACACCTTTCGATATTAGACAATCCAGAACTGAGCCATCAAGTGTTGTGTTGTTAACAAGTTCATGATAGTAAGGGTGAATCATATGTTGTAATTGAACTGAAATATATAGTAATTATTTGTAAAGATGAGAATAACAAGTCAATGTGATAAAAAAGGGCACATGCATGATAGAACTTCATGTTTTATAAATTGCATTTGTTTTAAAACCTATAGGTATAATTAAACATAAATAATTATGCATCTTTTGCTTTCTTTGTGCGAACCTGATGCAGTTAAATCCAGAAAAGCTCTTCAGACTCATGAAAGTTATAAAGCATTGTTTCCATAATTAACTGCGATATTTTTTTACATAATGAATTATCATCGGCTTACAAGTGAAATAAACATGTCTAATGACATCTGAGGGGACAATTTCAGAAGACAATGAAGGTACCAAGGAATATTGAGTAAATATACATCATCGAATAATGTAGAATTTGTTTTAGTAATAAGTTGTTATATCGGTGGATTGATTTCTTAATCAACGTTTGATACAGACTTCAGAGCACTTTAGACACCTGTGTGAGGAAAATCATAAATTAGAGACTATGTGTCGTCGATGACCTTAAGTGAACAATATACAAAAAGTGTATACCTGACAATTAATGTGAAATACTTAAATGTATAATCTGTCCACAGCTATGGTGTTACAAGGCATGAATATTCATATAACAAGTTCTACTTATTAATAAGTGGATAGAACGGAAGTGCTTGATGAACAGGAATAAAATAGATACATCATGTATTACCAGTATGAAGTAAATTCCCGCGATACACACATGCGAAATAATTGAAGGACAGTTGTCTGACAAGTGTGGTATTATTGGAACTGACAAAAATGCCATATGCCATCTTTTTTTCAGATCATGGTTTAAATTGAGGATATCGCTGGTACGTCCTATAAATGCTTGAAGTAAAACATTGCGATATTGTGAAAATACAACTAATGTAAATTATATTGGATCAAATTCTTAATATCATGTTCATGATATAGATTGTAACATTTTTGAATATTCTTATATTCTCATTTATGAATGTGTTGTGTACGTACGAAGAAGTCTAAATTTATTTAGGTTATTGAAATATTACAAGTATATCAATATGACGCAGGTTTCACCTGAAATTCTAGGGAAGAAAGTCTGCAGTGTTAAGTGATCAATCTTGACGTATGTAACAGAGGCAGAGGCAAAGAGTATATTACGCAATATAGGCCAAAGGTTACTTTTCGGTTGTTTTCGCCCATGCTTCTGTTATTTTTGACATTAAGTGTGCAACACGATTTAAATGAACTGCACAATTTACCAAAATTTATTTATACTTGTATTCGTAAACAGATAAAATTTATATTGTCTTTCACATTTAATTTGAATAAACTGTTCCGTTTGTCCCGTTCTTAATATTCGTCTTTTAGTAGCGTAGCTGCCATTTTGAATCTTATAAAAAACAGATAAAAAACTAGAGTGACGAAAACATTTTGTTTGATAGTATGTTCAGTTATCGGTATTTATTTCAGTAGGGTTTATATATCAAAAGTGCTTACCTGAAATTCGCTTACATACTATTTCTAGTCTGAACGTTGTGTATTTTAAGTAATAGAACTGATTGTCAACAAATTTACAAGTACATTTCACAATGAAACAGAGTTTCATAAGGTCGGCCTTAATAAATAAGAAGATGTATTACCTTCAATTTGACACACTTGTCTAAATTCGTCTGTTGATAGTCGTTCTTTCAGTATTTCCTTGTTTTCTTTAATTGCATGTTCTAAGCCTCCGGGATATGTCCTATCAATATGTTTAATGATCAACTCAGGAGACATTCTGAACAAAATATATGCTAACTTTATATGGTTTGGTGTCTCTTTATTTGTCCTGTCCATTCTGCAAGTAAAACATGTCATATTACAATTCAAGGTAACACTTAACATAATATGTTTGTGTTTTATTTAAAAATAAAGAGAGTTTCACGAGCGGATAATATAAATTCACTGCCAGGCTTTCTAGATGCTTTAAATTATGAGTTTACATATGAACGATAAGTACTCTTTTGTGTTAGTCTTTGTGGTTTTTGACAAAGTTAAGCACACGGACACTGTTTCGTTTAAGACTTTGGGGTTAATGATACCATACTGGGCTCAAGTCTACCAGTAATTGACGTTGTCGAACGATCTGTACTACTTCTTAAGAAATTCCTATCAGCATAGTAACAAGTAACAACGGTAAGGTACTATTAACAAATGTAGTAAAGTGTAAAGTACACTAACGGAACGAGGCATATAAAAGCAATTGAGGTTTAAACACGTTGTTCTTTTTATTTCGTTGTAATCTGTAATCGTTTAATTTAAATTAAAATTTGAGGTTGAGTATAGGTCATTATCTGAATATATTACTTGCATTACTGTTAAAGTATAACCAAGGAATTGCCTTTGACTGTTACAGATACAAATTTAAGCTACTACTTTGGCAATTACAAAGTCAAAACATATTTGGTTTTCAAAAATCATGCATATAAACTGCCAGCCTTGCATCCGACATGAGTCATATTAACTTTTGATCAGAGAGAAAACATTAGTCGATGTCAGAATGAGAAAAAGAAGCAGACACAAATCTTTACAAGTTTTACCTTTCTAAAAAGGTGTGGACTGCTTCGCTCTATTCAAATTTAAGGTAATATGTGTGCATGTGCTTGTTGGTTTAGTATTGGAAATGTGGTATTTTTAGATATCGATCGATATAAAATGGATGTCTTAGACTTGGAATATCAATTTTTGTATATATATCAAGATGAACTTTTCTGAAATTTTAAACTGACGGCTGTTCAGTGTTGTGCGTTATACACCAATGCTTTTAACATTTTGTTCACTTTACTTGTTGAAAATTAAAACATTTACAAATAGATACGACTCTGGAGGTGTGCCTAGATTGGCATAAGTTATAAAATACAGATAATGCATTTTTGTAAACATTGTATAGGAACATTGTTTAGCAAAACAAATCTTGCATATTGCAGATTAACAAAGCAAATAAACACGTATTAATAATTGATATTTCAATATTGAATTTCAGTGTGCAAAATATGCATAATAAAACGAACATGAATTAATGACAGTTGATCGGAACTGAAATACACATAGTTAGTTTTCCGGCATTTGATGTCTTATCCTGAGACGAGAAAAGTCTGTAATTCTTTATCTCATTTAAGCCAATAGCTGTTGCTGTATCTCAGCCGCATCATGAAGCAACCAATCAGAATCTATATGTGATAAGTAATTATTTCAAGATGGCCTGTATTTCGACTGAAACTAAAAGCTCCGCACCGTGATGCGAAGCAAATAGTTCTGTTCATTAAACATAGACCCGCCTGAAAGTGTTTAAGTAGTAAACGATCATATCCATCAAGTAAAAATTGTCCAAAGGTTAAGAACGTTTATTTGAATTAAACAAAAATGTTCGCTCAAGTAATGAAAGTATTGAACTTACATAAAATGTATAGCATTAGGGATGATGGTGTCGGTTGAGCGCTCGCTAACATGTTTAACCCCGCCACATTTAGTATGCGCTTGTCCCAAGTCAACAGCCTGCAAGTCAATGGTTGTGGGCACTGTCTATCATATTTGGTTTTTCCTTAGTATTTTATACATACATTTTTCGTTTGAATTGTTTTACATTTTGTCATTTCAGCGCCTTGTATAGCTTACTATACTAGTATGGGTCTTGCTCATTGTTGAAGGCAGATATTTGCCTACATCTACGTCATTGGTTATCATACATAATCTTCTTATTTTTATATACATCACAGGTATTAGTTCTCCCAAAAGGTATTTCATAACAAGTCGTATACAGTGCTTAATTTTCCTTTAATTTATTTCCAAAGTATAACCATCAGACTTTTTATGCATCTATACGAAGACAAAGAAAAGTAAATGATGTTACAGCTTTGTACAAGGTTAATCTTAAATACTATCTTACCTTTTGTCATCAGCTGGTAATGTTATTCTTAAATTGATACAGACACTATTGGCTATATGAAAGTAAACCGAATATATGTATTCTTAATAACTCGATACTTTTTTCAAATCACATACATATAGTAACAGTTTAAGATGAATCGGAAACACTAAACACGATTTCAACGGAAACTATATGATTGCAAATTTGAACTGATAAAACAGCAGAGGATGTTGTTACTATTAGTAAAACTGAATAATTAATATATTTTTATATCAATGTTTATAGTTTTCAAATTATTAGATTTTTTGGACAACAGGAAGGTTATATAATTAAATTTTTCATTCTCCCTTGTGTAAATAATCTTTCCTATGATCATTTGAAAATAAATATCCTGCACCAAATTAAATTGTCGATCACAGTTTAGCAAGAACAAAAAAGAATTATATGTCCATGCAGAATTGTCCTTGAAAATATCAATATTAGAGTGCAGTATTGTAGGACGTCTGTGACCACTTTTTACCTTTTATTTCTCCCCAATAAAACAGATCATAAATCCAGGCTAATTGTGATTATTGATGATGTTTAAAGCGGTAGCAGACCATAAGTTTTCGTTGATGAGCTCATTAAATGATCTATCTGCTCCCTCAATTGTCTAGTTTTCTTATATTAAAGAATATTTTGAACGGTGTTATAAGATGAGGATATTTTTTCTCCAAAATTAAGTTTCCAGGAGGGCACATACACATAACCAAAAAATAATTTCCTGGTCAGGCGGGATGAAATTTATACAAGCGGCCAAGGCTCCCCGCTGAAAAAAACTGTTTCCCCTGGTCAGCCAGGATGAAATTTTCACAGGCGGCCGAGGCTCCTCCATGAAAAAAAAATTGATTCCCCTGGTCAGGTGGGATAAAATTTTCACAAGCGGCCGAGGCTCCTCAATGAAAAAAAAATTTCCCTGATAAAGCGGGATGAAATTTTCACAGGCTCCCCGATGAAATTTTTTCCCCTGTTAGGCTTTCATGATGAAAACGAATGTTGAATGTTGAAATCGAATGTTAAAAAACGAATGTTAAATGTTGAAAACGAATGTTGAATGTTGAAAACGAATGTTGAATGTTGAAATCGAATGTTGATTGTTGAAAACGAATGTTGAATGTTGAAAACAAATGTTGAATGTTGAAAATGAATGTTGAATGTTGAAAACAAATGTCGAATGTTGAAATCGAATGTTGAAAAACAAATGTTGAATGTTAAAAACGAATGTTGTATGTTGAAAAAAAAAATAAATGTTGAATGTTGAATGTTGAACCAACTTGGCATCCGTGTGGAATACGATTGTTTTCAACTCGAGACCATTAAATTTTCAATTTTAAAGTGCGAGGCTTATACAGCGTTTAGAATTCTTCCAATTTAATTTTAAGAGTGGTTCGGTGGTGTAATCTGTAAACTATTTCCTTATGTAATGTTACAGAACGACGTTACTCGCATAGCAGCATTTCGTGCAACGCTTGCATTGGGTTGAATTAAACTCTTTATACTTTAAAATTATAATATCATGTTTGAACATTTTGTAAGCTATTTTGATTATTCATTAATATTTTTATCATTCTCCCATCGAATCGTCAAATATACAGTTACAGTAATTGTCAAAGATGAAATCATCTCAAAGACGGCATTTTTTTAAAAGTTGCATTAGATGTATTGGAATAACGAACGTTGATCACATGCATTAGTATAGAAATAACTCTCGGCTTGCGGATTAAGAACCCTTCTACTTTTAAGTCCGACGGTATCAGGGCTGAAAAGTCACTTGCCTTTTTGACTGCGGGCAGAATTACTTCACTACCAAAACACCCTTGTAGCAACTATTTTCGAATGGTCATTAAAATTGGTTAAAGTTGCCGTATTAACAAAACGCTCCATAATTTATTCGAACAGTGGCAGCCACATTTTTTTCTGTGTCCCATCATCCCGAACCTATTTTTCTAAAATCTATTCATGTTTATTACACCTAATATGTATCATGTCTATCGGCTGGGTATAAAGCTTTACCTGTTACTAAGATGTTAATTCCGTTCGATCAATCGACCAATTTTGGTATATTATGAGTAATGTAATGCATCTGATAATATGTATACAGACTGACAATGAAAGGCAAATCGCCATATTCAAAAATATTTTCATTTGTAATAAACGAATCTGGATTTTTTTTCTTATTCAGTTACATGTGTACCATTTTCTGTTGTACATGTTGAGATATTTAAGTAAACTCTAGTTTTTTATCAGATGACAAATGAGATTGTGGCTAACCATCGAGTTAGAGTTAGAGTTAAAGTTTGAGATAAAATTTGAGTTAAAGTTCGAGTTATACTTCGAGTTCGAATCTTAGTTCGAGTTAGAGTTCGAGTTAAAGTACGCGTTACACTTCGAGTTAAACTTCGAGTTTTACTTCGAGTTAAACTTCGAGTAAGAGTAAAAATTAGGGTAAGAGTAAAAATTTCTAGATTCAATAAAATTTTGAAAATAAAAGATTGCAGTTTCTGCTCGTCCACCCGTTTTTTCTTTGAATATACATTCTTTCATCCCATGTATTTTTCAGTATGATATATATTTTTTTGCCAGTGAGGATAAATGATAAGTAAACTACTAGAAGTAGCTATATAGCTTGCAAATATTGATTGATTGTGTTTGTTGTATGCCACTTTCAGCACTCTGTGCTATATTATGGTGTCCACTTTTTATTGGTGAAGGAATCGCGGTATCCAGAGAAAATCAACTACATTTGGATTTGAAAACTGGTTATCCTTATTATTTAAGATTGGAATCTGACAATTTTCCGATTTAATTCAGTGTTGACAGGCAAAAATGCCGAACGCAAAGGAAATTTCAAAACGGAAAGTCAAAAAATAAAAACACATCAAACGAATGGGAAACAACTGTCATATTCCTGACTTGGTACAGGCGTTTTATTAAAATGTAAAAATGACGGATTAAACCTGGTGTAATAGCTAGCTAAACTTCTCACGTGTATGACGGTCGCATGTAATTCCATTATATTGACAACAATGTGTGAGCAAAACAAACAGACGTAACAGGTAAAAATGTCAATCATCACGATACAGCAGTCAACATTGTTTTATAATCTTGATCACTATAAAAACAAACAACTATGTCAACAAAGAAAAATCAAATAGCATAAAGACTCTATAAACAATGCATATAAGCAAAAATGAAAGACAAGAATACAAAAAAATGACCATAGCACAAGAACACAATGGCGGGATGTATAAATACCGAGCCACGCCAAAAGGATATTACCAAAAATGGACTAAACAATAAAGGTTAAAAATATAATGATGAATTGTACTTTAATTTTTCAATGCTCTGCAACCAATAGGTTCTTCCTTTGTGAAGTCATCAGGCATGGTCACCTTTTTTCGTGACGTCAATGTTAACTAATTAAAAACTGAGATCAAATAAACCATACGTTGAATATAAGTAAATAGTCAACTGTTAGAGAAAAGTTTTAATCAGCTTAGGTAAGAAAAAACATGTGTCTTCCCTTTATTCCACACTCAAAACATATTGATCTCATTACATATTTAGTTGACATAAATCAGCCTAGTCGAAAATGCCTCTCTACTTTAAAAATTAGTATAAACCTATCATCTCTTAAACATAACCCAAACCAATTGCGACTAAAATTTTCAATTATAAACATTCAATTTGTTGTAGGATCTCAAGTTCAAACTTCCTGACTGCACCTGTGCATGCCACGTAAATACTGGTGACCTGAACATTGTCAATAGGACTTCATTGCGATCGGTATTATCCAAAGGCTCGAAATCGTACCTCTATCAATTTGAAACACAACTTTGAAATACTGATGGATTTAGTCGATGATTATGCCAGGCAATTGACTAAACGCGAACAGAATGACATAGATACTCTTTAAAAATAGGTTTTGGCAAAAAGGTCGTTAGTACAAATTAGAATTAAAAAACTAAATACATATGCTACATCGGTCTTTAAAGACCCATATGTTTCTAAGCACCTGTGCTACTGCCATGACAAACATGTTGTTGTCCTTGCTGATAAAGCCCCAACCACCATCGTTTTTGTGTGTAAATTACATTACATTAACTGTTTGATATAGGAATAAGGTATCAACAATTAACTTAAAAACTCGAAACATACCAAAGATAAACCATGAGCAATTATATGTCTGCTCCTTTGGCATTTCAACCAAGGATAAAAATTGGATCTTCCTTCATTTTATTGTAATCCTAAATGACATAAGTGTCCTTACAGACAACGTTACATTGCTTGGTCTCCCAAGCGCTCCACCTAATCTCTTCTTTAAACTATTGACATCAAGTTTCTCAACCATCAAAGCAAGGTTCAGGGATATTGTGAAACTACTTGAGGGTTACTGCTCACGTGGAAGCTATTAAACCAAGAGTTCCAAGTAGTGAAGTTGAAATCATCCCTTCGTTTTACGGACGCCATCACGAGTTGGTTGACCGTTATGGAATATCTGTTTCGCAGATGACGACAGATATGTTCAATCCCGTTTTCTTTTTCTCGAATGTGACCTATTGCACTAGACTGATCACCGGGTTTGTACGTACATGAGCAACACGACGGATGCCACACAGTTCTTTAACTCATATTGTCGTTTATGTAGTTTGGTCAAGAATCGACTAAGATGATTCGATATTGACTGCTTCACCTAGTATTTGTTTCACTTTCTGATCTCTCTCGTAATTTTGGGTTTCTTATGCAATGTGTTCTTCTTCAAGACACTTTCTCGATTATTTAATTTGTGTTTATTGGCTTCTCATACAATATTATGTTGGCTAAGTACTTTCCCGTTTGTAAGGCACCTTTGAACAAGATCTTCATAAAGTATTTCTCCGTCGTTTGTCGATAGCGGTACATCTTTTTACTCCGACTCTAATGCTGATTTCTTTTTCATGCTCTGTAATACGTGAATTTCGTGTAAAGATTTTCATACTATGACTCCTGATAGAGTTCCCTATGTATACAAAAGTTTCTTTGTCACACTGTATTGGCGATCGCAATAATTCCGCCTTCGACCTTTCACTCTTTGTAACCTCTGTATTGAGG